AGATTAGCATGTTCATATACATATTTTTCATGATAAACAATGGTAAAACATTTTGAAATCTTTTACTCATATTTAAAAGAGATATTTTCATATAAGGCAGGGTTTCTCAACCTTGCCACTATTGACATTTTGAAGCAGACAATTCTTTGTTGTGGGGTCCTGTGCTGTGCATTGTAGAAAGTGAAGGAGCATCCCTGGCCTCTACCCACAGATGCTAGGAGCACACCACTAATCCCACTGGTGACAACCAAAACTGTCTTCAGACACTGTTAAATGTACCTAATATGGGGGGAAGAATCAGCCTGTCCTTAAAACTATAAATCTAGGAAGAATGTTACCTTTTTTCTCCAAAAGAATGACTTTTATTTAACATAATTTTCTTATACCGTACCTTTAATCATCTCTAGATTAAAAAAAAACAACCATATATATGTTGTTTTGGGGGCAGGCGCAGTGGCTTACACTTGTAATCTCAGCATTTTGAGAGACCGAGGCGGGCGGACCACCTGAGGTCGGAGTTCAAAACCAGACTGGCCAACATGGAGAACCCCCATCTCCTAAAAGTACAAAAATTAGCCAGACGTGGTGGCAAACGCCTGTAATCTCAGCTATTCAGGGGGCTGAGGCAGGAGAATCTCTTCAACCTGGGAGACAGAGGTTGCAGTGAGCCGAGATCATGCCACTGCATTCCAGCCTGAGTGACAGAGCAAGACTCCATCTAAAAAAATAAAAATAAATAAAGATAATTTTTTAAAAATGTTTTGAAGTTTATTGAGCGCTACTGGTTTGGTATTGTCCATCTTGCCTTTCCTCAATGAATCGAATTCTGTCATGCCTGAATTAGCCCAATTAATTTTATTAGCAAGCTCATATCCATTTATCACATTAACTTACCTCAGTGTCAAAGAATTCGCTATGGCCCACAGTTTCTAAATACGTCACACTTTCTCTCAAGAAATAGCTTGCACACTTGAGAAAGATGGTGGAACACTTGTGAACACACCTAGAAGGAAAATAATTTTAATGCTGTTGGCCAAAGAGCATTAATTTCTTTCTGAAAAAAATGTTCCATCTTCTATGGAGTGCTTGCACTTTGGACTAATGAAGAATTAACAGAAAACTGGTTGTGTAAGAGAACAAAAATACAATTTAGAGGATTTCTTTTCTACCTAAAACTAGAATCCACCGAAATGAAGTCATAGGCTTTATTATAGTCAAATGTCATTGTTAACTTTTATATTAAGGGGTGGATAAAAAAATTGTTTAAAATATAATAAGTAGTTTCTCTGACTTGTAAATGATAAATACTTTCATGGAAAATTTGCCCATCTCACAAGGTTTCTGTGAGAACAAATGTTATAATAGATATGAAAGGGTTATGAGAACCATGAGCACAGAGCACGCCACAGGACAAGGGAATTATTGTCATGCATGTGGTTTTACATAGATTGTAGAAAAAGGAAAAATTGGTGTATTTTGGTACTTCCGTAATGTTCATTATTATCACCACAGTTATCATTATCTTCAAAAAGGTTTTATTAAGGTTATCAATATCATATGTCTGTATTTTCATTCATCATAGAATCAGGTCCTAGATTAGGCTGCTAACCCTAGAAATGCATTAAAAGACCAGGAGTGAAGGGTACTTGCTCCCCCTTACCTACTTGCAGATGTAATATGCTAGCATATGTTCATTTTCACTGGATAACTTCTATTGCAAATCAGGTACATTATTGCTTGAATTTATAACCATGATATAATTTTTACTCAATATTTATTGAAAACAGAATGAGTTGTATAACAAAGATTTCACCACATGGCATGTAGCTCTTTCTCTACAGGAAACAAAAATAGTTTCCAAAGAGGAAAGGGGAAACGTCTACATGCACACACACACACACACACACACAAACACACACACACAGAGGTCTAAACAGGGATTACCCATGTTTTCTCCTTTCTGTTCTCCACTTATCACACCAGTAAGTAAATGATAATAAATGCTATGTATTAATATAGCATTTATCATTCAGTATTATTTTGCCATTTTTAAAGTTGAAAAATTAAAATTGTATATATTTATTGTGTACAACATGATGTTTTCAAATATGTGTACATTGTAGAATGGTTAAATAAAGCTACTTAACCAATGCATTACTTCATATACTTCTCTTTTGTGGTAAAATTTACTCCTACCAATTTTCAAGATAGTCCCTTATACTTTACGATCATATGTTTTCCCCATCGCATATTAAAATGTTATTGAAAATAATTGTGGAGCAAGGATTTTGCTGCAGGTTACATTGTGAGGAATCCTGTGTGGCACTCATAAGAATCTGGATGCTAATGAGGAATTGGTATAAGCTGACACATGTATTCCATTGTTGATCATGCTGACTGCCGTGGCAACATTTACACTATGACTGTGGCTGATATTTAATTTTCCTACACTGGCTGAATTATAAACAAGAATCCACCACCAAGACTTATAATTCATCACAATTGTTTATTTTCATGGCCAACAGAGTCCATCTGCCTACAAATTCTTTTATAAACATCTCTTTAAAAATAGAAATGCTCATGAAAATGAGCATATACACTATAAGTATTTGGAAGTGTAACACTAATTTGTACATAGCAATTAAAAATTTTGAAGATAATTTATTTGTTTGGCACATTATGGTTTCTAAAGTACCTTAACTTTAATTTTCTCAATTGATTCTCACAAAAAGCCAGTAAAATGCTATTTTTTCATTTTAGAAATAAGGCAAGTCAGGTGCGGTGGCTCACACTTGTAAGCCCAGCACTTTGGGAGGCTGAGGCCAGGGGAGCAGTTGAGGCCAGGAATTTGAGACCAGCCTGAGCAACACAGAAAATCCCGGTCTCAAAAAATAAAAAGAAAAAAAGAAAAAAAAATAGCCAGGTGTGATGGTGCATGCCTGTAGTCCCAAGTACTTGAAAGGCTGAAAGATAGGATTATTTGAGCCCAGGAATCTGAGGCTTCTGTGAGCTAGGATGGGGCCACTGCACTCCAGCCAGGATGGCCAAGTGAGACTGTCTTTAAAGGACAAGAAAAAAAAAAAAAAGAGGCATCTTAGGTACAAGAGATTATGTCAGTCACTCATAATTAGGCTTACATATGGTAGAGTTTAAAATCAAGCAGTTTTGTAATCTAAACCCATAATCTGCCCAATTCATTTTCCTCCAAAAAATCACAATATTAAGAACTTGTAGATGATGCAAATGAGAATGTCAGTGACTGAGAAGAGGACTGTAGGTAGCCTGAGGGTTATTTTTTTTTAATATGAAGGTAAGGTGGAAGGAGGTTTTATATCTTTAAAATGGATACTGTGGGACTAATAGTCAAATGTGAATATCCTTTTGCCATTGAACAAGAAAGAATATCTTTAAATTATTGGAAGGCGGCTTCTGAATAAATAGTATCAATGTTCTTCAATATGGTTAAAAGACCCTGGAATTCATTGTGCAGAAAGAATATTGTTTTATATTTTAAGATTTTTCAGAAATGCATAAATATCCATTTGGAAGTCTAGATGAAGTGCAGTTTGCCCAGATGTTAGACATGATTCGAATAATTCTTTTTCCCCAGTGGTATATATAACAGTGGTAGTACATGAACACTGTGCAGGAGGTACACAGTGTGTTCTTAGCAGTCACTAAAGCATTCACAAAGTCACTATTGCCATATCAATGTCTTAGAAAAAGTGCACTTTCTGTTTTTATCGAGATTCATGTCAAAGACTTTAGGATTTTACTGCTGCCAATTTATTTTCCTTTAATGGACAATCATACTTTGCATTAATAGAGTTGTTAAAAACAGACAATAACTAATGTGCTAAGATCATTGTCTGCAAGACCATCCCTTCCAGCAGCTTGAGCCGTTTATAGTGATCCCAGTATTCCTGTCTCTAACTGCCAGGGGAAACCTAAGTAGAAAGAAAAAGTTCAGGGGGATGTCCTTTGTAATATCTTGTGAAGGTGAAGAAGCAAGCTTCAAGATCAATTCCAGCTCTGAATTCACACCACTTCCTGAAATGAAACACAAATGTGGTAAGCGAGAAATGTTGAATAGTGCCACCACTGAGGTTAGTCTTCAGACCAAATAAACATCTCCATTTTTATGTGCCTCATAACTACTTTTCAGGACCCAACCATAGATAAGTTGTAATTCAAAGAAAAATTCAGATAAGGGCAAATTGATAATCTTTATGTGTTAAACAGAGTAGTGTTCATTCAAAAGAATTTGTGGTTTGAAAAACACCCTTTCCTTTTAAATGCATTCAGTTTTTTAGTTATTTTTTATCAGACATTCCTCTCCAAAACAGAACTATAATATAATATCCAGAGGTCAATGTTTGTGAACATAGATTCCTCTGTACAATTTCTCTTTATGACCTTACCCATGACATCATTACCTTAACTTCAAACTTAAAAATTCAGTTACATCTATTTGCTCTATATTGGTGGAAATGTTTATATATACTTTCAAGTATAGTTCTAGTACTTTCATTATTTATTTAACTAATTATATATATTTTTAGAGACAAGGTCTTGCTCTATCACCCAGGCTGGAGTACAGTGACACAATCCTGGCTCACTGCAACCTCAGTCTCCTGGGCACAAGAGATCCTGCTACATCAGCCTCCCAAGTAGCTGGTACTACAGGCATGCACCACCACACCCAATTAACTTTTTAAAAATTATTTTTTGTAGAGATGAGGTCTCATAATATTCCACAGGCTGGTCTTGAACTCCTGGGCTCAAGGGATTCTCCTGCCTTGGCCTCCCAAAGTGCTGGAATTACAGACATGATCCACAGTGCAAGGCCCCTAGTACTTTTAACCTGTTAGTTACTTTATACCTCTAAGTGCAAATTTTAATATATTCAAATGTAATCTCTTACAGGACATCCTACATGTTATTAAATCTTAGATGATAATGATAGTAAAATTCTTCTTTTGGCTTTCTTTATTTCACAGGATTATACACTCACCATGTATTTCCAGCAGTCTTGGAAAGACAAAAGGCTTTCTTATTCTGGAATCCCACTAAACCTCACCCTAGACAATAGGGTAGCTGACCAACTCTGGGTACCAGACACCTACTTTCTGAATGACAAGAAATCATTTGTGCATGGGGTCACAGTGAAAAATCGAATGATTCGACTGCATCCTGATGGAACAGTTCTCTATGGACTCCGGTAAATGACTTTATATTGCATGTTTTAAAGTTGTTGTTGCTTTGTTTCATTTTCAACTTTTGGAAGTGGGCAAAGGGAAGAGAAGCAAGAATATATAGATGAATATATAAATGGAGTGTCGTATACTTATGAAGGTCTATTACTAACCCTCATGTAGTTAAGGGCTTATTACAAATTATAGGCAACACATCAAAATTACCTACCAGTTTTACGACAGAAATATCTGAACTGTAAACTGTTATTATAGGATATGTAAAGTGGTGGCTGTTTATTCTTTGTTGTCACCTTTAGTGATTCTTTTGAGAAACAGATGAAACCTGTATATTCACAATATCTCAAATTTTCCTGTTATTTCAGAGTGTTCATAAGCCCCTTGAAATCCTTCCATGTACCATGAATACTAAGCTGAAACTCCAGTTACGGGTCAAAATATAACAATTAATGTCTTTAAATTCACTAATGCCCCAAAACAATATACAAGTGAAAACAATATATATCTGTGATGAAATTTCTAGTGGTTGGTTATTTAGTTGATAGTTTTGGTCTTCATTTGCACAGTAAAATAATATCAGTTGTTCTTGGCAAAATGATCTTTGAAATTTGATAGCTTTGGTCTTCATTTGCACAGTAAAATAACGTAGTTGTTCTTGGTAAAACAATCTTTGAAATTTTCCCACTCTTTCTGTACCCCAAGGACTTTCAACTTCAGTTAAAAATCTCTGAGTTAAAAGTCTTTGGGAGAAATGGTAAAATAAATTAACAGTTCCCTTGAGTCTATTGGTAGCTACAACAAAAAGACTACTAATCCAAGATTGGTGGTTAATTATTAGTTATGGTTCATATACTATAAATCAATTGTAATTTTTCTGTTACCAGTGTAACTTCCATCAGACATGCCCGATGTGTAAAGGGATGAGTTACCATTCTAAATTATCCTGGGAGAGTAAATCCATGACTCAGTTCAATAGGCTAATCAACCATGACATGTGTAAGTATATGGATTAGTAAAGAATATATAAAAAGTTGATTGATTGAAAAAAAAGAGCAACTAGATTTTTTTTTTTTTTTTTTGGCGAGAAAGAATGTGGCTTACATTGTCAGATTACAGAGTCTCACTTCATGAATTTCCCAAATTACTACCAGCATCTACCAATGGGAATAATCCAAAGGAAAGAAAATATTTGAGAATCATGAAGTTGAATACATTTCATTTTACAACTGGGAAAACTGAGACAGAAAAGGGAGAAGTACCTTATATAAGGGAATAATAAGGTAATGCCAGAACTGGGACTAAAATCCATGTATCCTGATTCCCATGCCTGTGCTTTTCCACTCCATTGCCATTCAAGTGCACTTAAAAGTCAACTCCTATTTCCAAGTTGTACACCACTTTAATCCCTTCGGAGCAAACCCAGTTCTTTGTAGCTTGTTGTCTAGCAAACAGACAATGACCTTTCCAAAGAGAAACACAAACCATTCATCTATTATCTGTGCCCTGCTCTTTTTATGGCACCAATTTTCTCTGTAAGAGCCTCACACTAGTTCTCATAACTTCCCTTTCTCTTCCTCTGTCTTTCCCACTTCCTCTTCCCTCACAGATTTGGTTTTCCTTTCCCTAGAAGTTATCAATATCCTGGAAAGGTCATAAGGTATAGCAGAGAAAGTATGACATCTAAAGTCAGGGGACCGAGATTGGGCATAAACTCCACAATTTTCTGACTTCTTGACCTTGAATAAATTATGTAAACTTGTTAAGACTTAGTTTTTCAGTTGTATAGTAACGGGCTAATACTCCCTTACTCATTACTGGGACAATCTTATGAACTAATCAATATGACAATACATAATAAGTCCTAAATTGTATTTCTCTAAAGTAGTTGTGCCTTATATAGCCTTATTAGGCACTGGACAAACTGCATACCGAGGGTGTATAACTGATACCAGGGGTATCAGTAATTAAAATAGCGATAAAGTTGTTCAGTTAAAAATATACTCATTGAGTGCCTATTATGTGCCACACACTCACTATTTTGGCCCTAAGAATAACTTTCCAGAAGCTGAGTAGAAATTTTTCAGTGGACATAGAGCTGAAAACAATAGATACTGCGGACTCCAAGACTGGGGAGAAGGGGAGTGTGGCAAGTGTTGAAAAACCACCTATTGAGTGCTATATTCATGATTTGGGTGATGGATTTAATAGAAGCCCAAACCCCAGCATCATGCAATGTAGTCATGTTACAAAACTGCACATGTACCTCCTGAATCTAAAATTTGAAAGGAAAAAGAAAAAAAGAAATTTGTCAGTGGAATGCACTTGGGACTTTGAGTCAAGAGACTTGTGGCCTAACCAGCTGATACCCTTCAGTAAGGCATTTCACCTCCCTGGGCTTCAGATCCACCAACCTTAAAAAAAGTGATTGGATGAAACTATCCCTAAATTTCATACTGTATTAGTCTGTTTTCATATTGCTATAAAGATGCTACCCAAGACTAGGTAATTTACAAACAAGAGAGGTTCAATTGACTCGCACTTCTGCCTGGCTGGGGAGGTATCAGGAAACTTACAATCATTGCAGAAGAGGAAGCAGACACGTCTTACATGGTGGCGGGTGAGAGAGAGAATACCAAAGGGGAGGAACCCCATCCTTACCGAAAAAACAATTCTCATGAGAATTCACTCACTATCACAAGAACATCATGGGGAAATCACCCCCATCATCCTGTCACCTCCCACTGGGCCGTCCCTTGACACCTGGGGACTACAATTTGGATTACAATTCAAGATGAGATTTGGGTGGGGGACACAGAGCCAAACTATATCACCTACTAAACCTAAATTCCATTGCTTTGTGATCCTATATATTAGGGCATATTCATTTTAATTCCCCTGATGTAACATTTCCTAATCTAAGAAATGACAGTCTGCATTTTTCTAGGTAAGAGCCTTTTAAAGAATATCTGTTATTGGTCACCTCCTAAGCACACATACTAGAATATCCTTATCATATAACATATTGGAATATTTATAGCTGTATTTATTTTAGGCATGAGTAATTAAGAGAATCAAACTTCTTACCTTAATCCTTTCCATCAGTCCAGCTCATAGTCATCATGAATGGGTCCATATATTAATGAGTAGGTTTTAGCAATCATGTGATCAATGAGATTTTCTGAATGCACTGGAAAGCCTTTGGCTAGGTATTCCATAATCGTAACAGAAAACAGATTTTAAAGAAAATCAATTTTTTGCTATATTCAAACTCTCAATATGAGATACTATAACTTATATGAGCCAGAAGAATAGAGTCAGTTGTCTATTTTTGTGAACTATGTCAAATCAGATTTTTCACCAAAGGAATGGCACATAGTCCTGTAAACACCCTGAAATAATAGAATGGTGTCTGGTGAGGGATTGGCACTTCTAGAGGAACCAGGCTACTATGCAACAGATATTCGGCCCTTGGGAGAGACTTCATTCCTTGTGCCTCTTGCCCTTGGGTCACCCTCCTGTGACAAAATGCATTACACAAAAGAGTAACCCAGTAACCTCTATTACTTCCTCTTCCATTTAGGTGGGGAATCTAAATAAAAAATGTCCATGATGTGCTGTAAGTTGTGTTAGGAGACCAGAACTTTAGTCCATGTGCTATGAGCCATTTAACTTGGTCATCTCAGAACACATGATGTCATTTCCTTTCTTACTCAAAAGCAGAGACGATACAGTATCAGCTCCCTCTATGTCACTTAAAATTCTTCTGTTTTTCCTCCCTTTCTTCCACTTAACTTTAAGGAGGATTTTTCTCTTTTCTCTGAGCCTAATCTCTTCATGTCTGCATGTAATCTTTTTGGTGCACACTCTTTACAGACTTTGCTCCCCCATTTTACCTACCTCTTCAGCCCTTCCTCTCTGTTGACTCCCTCTCTTCAGTTTCTGCTTTGAGCACCAGTTTTCTCACAGCTTTGGTTTCCTCTACTGCCTCACTATACGTTACTCCTCTATCTCCAACAACATGGTTCCCATCCATACTACTTTCCCAAAACAGCTCTGCCAAAAATTACCAAAACCATCACTAGTTCTCAATATTAAAGAATCTTAAAGAATCTTGACTTGTCCGAATGCTGTAAGAGTAATGACTGACTCTGACTTCAGGACTTCCAAGACCCAGCACAATTTTTAAATTATTCTTGTTCTTCTGCTTTTTGTTATTTCATTATTGACTCCTCTTTTGCCACTAATTGAAAACTCTAAGGATTCTTCAAGATTTGATCAGTTTATTGAGTTTAACAGCTTTAAATATCTAAATTCCCAAACGATCAAGTTTCAAAAATTTTCAATTGCTCACTGAGCATCTGTATTTGAATTGCCTGCCAGCTCCTCCTCACATGACCCCTAGTTCATATCATTTGATTCTCAAAACTGGGCCATCCTCCTTTCCCAAGTGTTAATGAAATTACCATCATCCCATTCAATAGACATAAACTTGAAGGCAACTGTAATTCCACATCTCTTTTGTCACTGAGATTTAATCTGTTGCTTCTATTCCACTCTATCTCAATCTCCTTCTCTATTTCCAAATCACTTCTACCACCTAAATTAACATCCTCACTATCTGTCACTTCCTGGCCCATTTCCTATCTCAATTTTTCTCATTACTGCCATCTTACTTCTCCTACAAAAAAAAAAAAAAAAAAAAAAGTTTCCTCTTTCAGAAATCTAAGACCCTCTGCTTATTTCTGTAAACATATCTGAGGCATTTCAAGATTCAGTATGTTTCAAATACTTTATCCCATAAATATTTCATGGAATAGACAGCTGACTCTGGAATAACATGGATTGAACTGCATAAGTCCATTTACTGGAGGATTTTTTCTCAATAAAATTTACACCGAATGTGCCTGCCTCTCCCTCCTCCCTTTCCACCTCCTCCCTGTCATCTACTTCTGCCACCCCTGAGACAGCAAGAAGGACCCTTCTTTTTCCTCCTCTTCCTCAGCCTACT